TAGCGAACTAGCTCACATGAACCTTTGCACTCTTCTCCTTGTCGCGCCCCCCTTTTCACGGATGAGAGTGGAGGGGGGGGTACATCGTCATCACTGATAAAAGCAGAACTGTGGACTGTATACCGTCTAAGTGGATCCGGGTGGCTGCTCTCGAAGGAGGCTCTGGTGACGAGCAAGCAACACATTAAAAGAGAGCACAAGGAGGCAAAACACTGGCGATTTTTCGTCACCCCAAACGATGTGTTGCCCGTTCGATGGGTTCAAAACTGCCCAGGGCTTGCTATCAACTAGAGGTTTACAGATTCAGTGCATCATCTATCGCTCGTGGTGCCCAAATTCAGTGCCCATCTCTCTCGCGAGCCGTCAATTCATCTAACCGTAAGAGCTACTATCGAATGACTATAAATGACAAGATGTATGACTCTCGAAACCGCTCGCACAACATCATAACTGTTTTCATGCTAATTGCATATCAAATGTGCACAGATACCTTACACTCGGAAAAACGATGCGCTACAAAGTCTTCACTGGAGCGTTCACCTCATCTCGGCTGCGGCAGGCGAATGTATTATAGTTCACCTGGTCGGAGCAGAAGCGCTCCAAGTAGTGTCACGTTAGCAGCACTCGCATGAGGATCCAAGTGATGCAGCGCGTCAGTGCGTATTGTGTCAACTGGGAAATGTTCTACTACTTTGGACGCGATCAACTCGCATGTCCTGAACTACACCCAACTTGTCCCAAACCTTATCAAAAGCATAGAGGCATGTAGCACGCCTATCACTCCTGGGCCCGGGGTTAAATCCCGGACTGGTTCTCACCCAAAGCAACGAAACCTTCTGAATTTTGGGAAAGGAAAATAGGCACCAAATCCGCCTGAGGAGATAAGAACAAAGAGTTGTTTATCAGCTGGCACCGCAAGTCATTGTATAAGTCGCACGCATTCAATAAGCCAGTACACCTCTAAATGGGAGTAACGTGCGCCCAAAAAAGGATTGATTGGACGAAAGTAAGGAAAGGACTTAGCCCTTATACTTCTTCATAGTCTCTTAAAAACAAATTCACCTCGCTACGTGAGGTCCATGGTTAAGTTCAATGCGCTTCCAGTCGGAAGTGGAATTTCTAGTTGATCGGGGTTATGCTGGTTTAACAGGAAATGTTCTGATTGCAATCAATCGCCAGGTGATAAATGGTCATACTAAATGAAACTGGAAACATTTGGTGGCGTATCATATCCTTAGTATCATCGTCATGATTCACACACATAACCCTCCCCCCACCAGCCCCCGCCCCCTCCTCCCACCACGGTGAGTAGCGCCGAGAATCCTGATAATTCGTAGTCGCAAAACACAACCTATTCACAAGAATGCTGAGTTATGGGCAAAAGTCTGACCCTAGGTGAGAGTCGAACCCGCACCTCGTGCTTTCCGGGCGAAACATAATTCGGCGCAGTTTGTCGACGGGGGGCATTCTGCTTTCCATAGATGTGCCGACCCATCTAGGTAGCCTTTTCTCGAGTTGACACGTTTTAGGATGGTGGCTAGACGATCTTGCACCAGCTTCACAAGTTTTACCAGGGTGAGATTTGTAAACCGGAACTAGGGAAGCAATGGTAGTAAGTCTCCTGATACTAATTCTTGCGAAATGTGAGGGCAACTCGTGGTGGCTCTACCAATTACGACTATGGAGCTATAAGGTAGTTCGCTACGGACGGTTGGGCGTGTCCGGCGGGATGATCTTGGCCCGGTGTCAAATCCGTTCTCCACCAGTTGTCAAAGCGAGCAATGATATGACTGTATCATATCGTTCGTATTACTCGTTTTCTACCACTTTTTGTCGCATGCGCGCTTCAACAAGAAGGCAGAGAACGGTCTTGACAGCGGTGCACACTCATACTGACTGACCGCCACAGCGAACTAGAGTATATCTACCTTACCTTACAAATAAGCCGAGCCCGTTCCTTGTAGCTTCTGCTTCCATAAACCTTGTATGAATAGCGAATCAGGGATCGCTGCTCGAGAGACAATCGTGCTATCTCTTTATGAAGGGCATCCACTTCTGAAAAAGTTATTCTACTATGTTACTCATTCCTGGAAACATTCAAATCGAGTGTACGGTACGGATTTTACAACACAGGGGAGGTAGGGAGGGTTCTAGCTGGAAGCGGAATGGAAGGCTACTCTCTAGTAAAGCACAGCAGTTTGACTGTTTCATACTGTTGAACCGAGAAAAGGAACTCGTTTCTGCCGCTGGACGGTTTTGTGGGCAGGGCACGCCATCGCGTTGTGATCATTTCCTAAAAAATACGACCCCCCCCTAATTCCTATCCTCGAATACGACCCCTCCATCCCCATGCTACCTATCACTTTCGTAGATTTTCCCAACTTCCTTCCAGTTTTCCGAAATTTCTCGAAAAATTTCTGGCTTTTCCCCAAAATTTTGCTCTCGTGCTCTCGAGCGGGGGCAGGGGTGGGGAAAGGTCTCAGGATTCAACTATCATTTTCAACCATCGGAAATAGTAGTTGTATAGATCTTTGGCAGTCCCTCTCCCAACAACGACCAAATACGACCCCCTCCCCCTTTATAGCGTCCGTGAAACAAGAAAAATCAACTATCAAAAAATTTTCTCAGACCAAATACGACCCCCCCTCCCTCGCGGTCAAATACGACCCCCCCCCCCCGTTGCGATCATCACAACGATGGCGTGCCCTGTTTGTGGGAGAGGGAGGGGATTGTCGTACGTTGAACAAGATTACGCAACACTAGGACATGCCCTTCCTTATCCTCAGAAAAGATGAAAATAGACGCTTACCAACTTTGGAGTTATTGCCGTAGATATTTGCCGATGTGGTGGTCATAGCGAACGTAATCCTCGTAAAGGCTGAAGCAAAAGTGGGAGGATTGCCTGTCAATTACGCCCAGA